AGACCATGAGCCTGGGGTTCTCGATTATTAGTCCAGTAATATTACCACTTTGCCACCATCACTCCCTATTTATTATTAAACACAATATAACTGAATCCATCATTTATTTAAATCAAAATTATTGTTTGAAAAATGGTTCAACACTATAGGCCTACTCCTGCATTGTGTGATTCCATCTGAATGTGATCTGCTGAGAGCTCTTCTTCATTTCACAGAGTCATAGGGGGATATAGCACAGAAATGGGCCCTTCAATCCACTATGTCTACGCTGACTAATAAATACCAAACTACACTAATCCCACTTACCTGGAGTTGATCCATAGTCTACAGTGCCCAATCATTTTACGTATTCATCCAGATTTTCTTAAATGTTATGAGAGTACTTGCCTCCACGACCCTCTTAGACAGCACATTCCATATTTCTACCACCCACTGGGTGAAAAAAAATCTTTCTCCAATTTCCTCTTAAACCACTTTGTCCTCATCTTAAACTTACACCCTCTGGTCTTTCACACATCTGCCATGGGGAAAGATTCTCATGATCTTCTCGGTCTATACCCCTCATAATTTTGTATAGCACAATCAGATCACCCCTCAGCTTCCTCAGCTCCAAGGAAAATAAATTCAACCTATCCAGCCTCTCCTCTTAACTGAGACTTTTAATCCCAGGCAACATCTTGGTGAATTTCCTCTGCAACCTCTCCAGGGCAATCACATCCTTCCGATAGTGTAGTGACCAGTTCTGCGCACAGTATTCCATCTGTGGCCTAAACAATGGTTTATAAAATTAGAGCAAGACTTATCTGCTCCTATATTCTACACTCCAACTAATGAAGGCAAGCATTACATATGCCTCATTCACCACCCTGTCTACCTGTGCTGACACTTTCAATGATCTATGGATTTGCATACCAAGGTTCCTTTGTACCTCAGTAATCCATCGGAACTTTCCATTTATCTTTGTATGTCCTTCCCTTATTAGCTCCCAAAATGCATCACCCCATGCTTATTTGGATTAAATTCCATTTGCTATTGCTGTGCCCAGTTTACCAGCTGATCAATATTAGACTGTAGCTGAGACCATCCTCCTCAGTATCAAAAGCACCACCAATTTTTTTGTCATTTGCAAACTTACTAATTATACCTTCTTCACTCAAATCTAAGTCATTAATGTAAATAAAAAACAGCAAGGGTCCTAGCACTGAATTCTGCGGTACTCAGGCTACCAAATACAAAAACAACCTTCCGCCATCACTCTTTGCTTCCTACTTGCAAGCATATTTCAGACCTAGTTTGCCTTGGATCACATGGGCTCTTATATTTTGGACAGGCTTCCATGTGGGGCCTTGACAAAGGCCTTACTGAAGTCCATGTAAACCATATCAATTGCACTACCCTCATCAACATATTTAGTCACCTTTTCAAAAAAACTCAACTAAATTAGTCAGACAGGATTTCCCTTTAACAAATCCATGCTGACTATCCATGATCAATCTCTGCCTTGCCAAGTAGTAATTGTTTCTGTTTTGTCGAATTTTTTCCAATAGTTTTCATGCCACTGATGTCAGACTAATTGGACTGTAATTAACTGAGATATCCCTGCTTCCCTTCTTGGACAAAGGAATCATATCAGCTATCCTCCAGACATCTAGCATTTCACTTTTGGCCAGCAAGGTATTATATATCTTGGCCAGGCCCCCAGCAATCTCCTCCCTTACCTTCCATAGCAGCTTTTGATACATCTCATCAAGCCCTTGGGATTTGTGCCCCTTATGCCCACTGAACCATCTAATGACTCCTCCTTATTGGCACTATGGAAGTTCTAGAGCCTCACTATCCCCACTGAAATCACCATCTGCAGTGTCTTTCTCCTCTAAAAATACAGTTGAGAAATATTCATGTAAGACCTCTAACATGTCTCCTGGCTCTACGCACAGTTGCCCCTTTGGTCTCCAACAGGTCCACCTTCTCCCTGGTTATCTTCTTATTTTGAGTATACTTGTAAAAAGCCTTGGGGGGGTTTTCTTGATCCATCTGCCAAAGATATTTCATGGCTCCTCTTTGCGGTCTGAATTTCCTTTTCAAGCAACCTCCTATACTCTCTAGACTTTGAAGGGCCTCCCCGTTTTTAATGTACTATATACTTTTTCTTCACGAAACTCTCAATATCCTTTGACATCTAGTGTTCTCTGTGCCCCTCACACTTAGAGTTGGCCCTGAATTCTCACAATATTATTTCTAAAAGACTCCCATTTTCCAAATGTAGACTTACCTCCAAGTAGCTTCCCCCAGTCCATATTTGCCAGATCCTTTCTAATGATGTTGAAATCAGCCTTCTGCACCATGGTTATCCTTTTCCCTAATGGCTTTGAAAGTTCCAGAGTTATGTCCACAATCCCAAAAATGTTCACCACTGAAATTTCAATCACTTGACCGACTTCATTTCATAAGATTAGGTGTGGCACCGCCCCATCTGTAGTAGGACTATCAGTGTACTGGCACAAAAACTCTCATAGATACTTTAAAAAACCTCCCTCCGTCTGATTCTTTCAGACTAAGGGTGTCCCAGTTAATGTTAGGAATGTTGAAATCCCTTACAGCTATGATCCTGTTACTCTCTCACCTTTCCTTGATTTGCTTACATATCTGCTCCTCTATCTCCCTCTGCCTACTGTGGGGCCTGTGTGATAATCCCAGCAAGGTAACCACCCTTTTTAAAAATTTCTAACCTGCACCCACATGGCCTCATTTGAAAACCCTTCTATGATGTCCTTCCTCAATACTGAAATGCCAGTTTCCTTTATCAGAAATAGAATGCCCCTGCCTCTCTCACACACACCTGCCCCTCAATCCCACCTGAAACTTCTACGCCTTGCAATATTGAGCTGCCACCCTCTTTAAGCATCTTGTCCTGCTTTGTTTGGCCCATGTTCCCAACTTCTAGCCATGCTTAATATAAAGAAGCAGCCACACTAGGTCATTCCTGTTTGAAAGCAACTAGATTGTGCATAAGCCTTTAAATTATTTAAAAGACTCTTTCAGAATCTCCAAGGCCTTGCAGACTATTGAAACTTTTAGCAAGTTTTGAAAAGCTTCCTAAAGAAAAACAGAATTCCAGCAATAGGTGGCAGAAAATAACTCAGCTACTAAGTAATAACTTCTGAGTAGTTGACCCTTTCAATAATGGAGGCTGGGAGGGTGGGGTGCTAGGTAGGTAGGGTGGCAGCTGGGGAGGAGGTAGAATTCCAGTTTGGGGGGGGGGGTCTTGGGATGTGTTGAGTCTTGGGGAGAGGGCTGTTTTAGTCAGGATCTGAAGGAGTTTTAGTTGATGATCTATGAGATAGGCGTGGACTTGTTGAATAGCAAATCAGGAGTTAGACTAGTTATTTGTCTAACATTTCCTGAGTAACTATTTTACTTGCTTATGTAGGAATCCTCTGACTCTCTGATTTAAATGGAGACTTTCAAGGGGTTTCAAGGATGAAGGGAACTGCCCAGCAGAAATTTCAGTTTCCTGCGCAGTTCTTTAAGTCTGTGTGAGTCATGACTGACCAGTACAACAGTCCGATCCATCCTTTCCATTGGTGTGTTTGTGCAACACATTTCAAATCTGGGCATTCCACTGTACAACTGCATTTTACATTTCTACGCTCACGTTTTGTTTTGATTCTTTGCAAAGTAGAGAACTTAATAACACAAACACACTTAGAAACATATGTCAAGACATTCTGATTGCCAGATAGTCATTGGAGCAGTGCAGTTTTCCTGCATTTTGAACTCTCCAAAAGATTGTTTTTAAAGGCAGAGAATTCTAAGGGTTGCACTTCAATGAGGTTAGTAGTTACCCTGGAAAAATCAAATCATCAAAAAGCTAGTCTAACTTCAGCATAACTAATCAACACACCCTCTGACTCACTAAACATGCCGTGACTCTGCCTCCCGATTTTTTGTTTTACACTGCTATCCCCCGGACCTCTGACAACAACTGTCTGACCATCCTCTGGCCTGAGCTCCACTCCCACATGCCCTTTGGCTGTGCCACTCCCCCTTGGCTGCTTTCAGGTCCAACACCCCCAACTCAAGCACCAACCCAGCATTCCCTGCCACTTGATGCTGCCACAGATCTGTCACCCTGCTGCCAAACATATTCCATCACTTAGCTGGTACCCTATCTACCTGGCAACCCAACCCCTTAACCAACTGTCACCCTAACTCACACTTACGTAATGGACTCGCCCTTTCGTAGTTGTTATCAAAGCGATTGGCTATGCTTACTCTAAAATTAGATCTCAGAATGCACGTACTAATTGCTGCGTAAGGGATGTGGTTTGCTTACTCCCAATTATCATGCATTTCTGGAAAACTGTGTTGATTTTATGTATATTCTGCATTTCCGAAGGAACTGGAATTGGAATTCTGAGTTAGTAATGTGGAGTTCATTACTAGTGGGAAGAAATAGGAGCAGAGTGCCGATGTGACTATGATTGCCACTCCTCAGAATATCTGGGCTGAATTTCAGCTGTTTTCAGATATGTTGGGATGTGGAGAGATTCTGCAGTATCACCTGATGTTGTGACTGTTGTAGCTGGTTTATTTTCTTTCAAGGTCACTTTCTATGGTTATTTTCATCATACATTTTCCACGGTGAATTGCTAATATAACTCTATCTTTTGAAATCTTGAACATCCAAAGGTGGTATGAAAATGGCATAATTTAGCTAATTTGTTTTGTGTCTTCACGCATAGTGCAGAAATATATAAACTCAGCTTCATACTTTTGCTCCTCATGAAATGTGAGATTCAGCTGGGGATAATTGTTAGATTTAGATGCCAAATCCGTCACGTAGAAGTGGTGGAAGATCTCCAATTATGATTTTAAATTAATTTCAGTAATTTTGTTTCTAAAGTGATCAATATCATAGCAAGACCATATATTGAACTACATACGAATGTAAAAAAAGCAGTGTTTCTTTTGAAATTTCTGCATATCTTTTTGTGCAGTGCAACCCTTCTAGCCTTTCTAGTTGAGCTACTAAAGAGCTCAGTGGCCATGCAAGAACAAATGTTGGGTGGAAAAGGCTTCTTGGTAATTGGCTATCTCTTAGAAAAGGTAAGTTCTTCAAGAAACAAAAAAAATTCTTTATTTAGAAAGCATAAGTATATCTGTCTGAACTTGATAAATAAAGCTAATGATGCATTTTTGTGATATTTAGACAAGCCTGTTTATATATAACGATATTTCAACATTGACAGTTAATTATTTACAGAAGTAACTAGTTTGAGAAAATTGAGTTCTGATGTTTTGAAGTAATTTTAAATGATATCGAATAAGAACATATGTATTATTTGATAATAAGAGTTGTAATATTCAATAGAATTTAAAATATTATCCAGGTATTTTTGTATGGCAATGTTCCTCTGTTTAAGGAGTAACCAAAAATCTTTTCAAAATATGGTAGGCAAACTATGTATGTCGACATGTTAATGTAATAGCTAAATATTTACTGCTGAATAAGAATGTCTTAATGTGCTGATATTGTCAGGGTAGTTACGTTGAATGACATAGCAGTGGGAAATTTCCACTAATCATGATGTTTCAAAATTACCTTGCATACAATTTATGTTCAGGAGGTAATGATTGTGATTTTAAAAGTAGGTTCAGTCATTTATTATATCTTCTGATGTTTCTTTTTTCTGAATATAGTCATCCCGAGTTCATATTACACGAGCTGTCCTGGAGCAGTTTTTGTCCTTTGCTAAATATCTGGATGGTTTGACCCATGGAGCACCTTTACTAAAACAGTTGTGTGATCACATCCTGTTTAATCCTGCAATCTGGATTCATACTCCTGCAAAGGTGTGGTTTTTCATAAATATTTGGAACCTTTATATGTTGCAGAGAAATGTTTCCTTTTGTCCCTTTTTTTTGCTAATTGTTAATATTCTGTAAAATTTTCTTGAATTACTGCATGGAGAAATTGATTCCTTGTTGAGCTTGAGACCTGAGATCTCAGCCCTATTTGTAATGTGTGAGCCTTAACATGGAGAGCTGTCAGGCTATGTGAGAGGTTTTGATACCAGATAATACACTCTGGGCAAGGAGCCACTTAAGCAGGATAATTTATTAAGCAGCAAAAGTTATACTTAACAAAGCTAGACAATCGGTTTCTGGCTTTAGATGGTCCTTTCTTCCCACTGTCTCGAGTAGTACAAGGGCTTGAAATTCCTTTTCTCTAGTCTGTCCCGATATTCCTTCAAATTTGTTCTTTTTATTTAGGGGCCTTTCTGTGTTCTGATGTACCTGCCGGTTCTGATTGATTGATACATGCATATCACTGAATTGATCAAACTTGTTACTTTACCTGCCAGTGCTTTCATTAATTCATTAATTTTGGCTGTGATCCTGAGCATATAACAAACAGCATATCCTTAACATGTAAATAGTCCATTGTCAACTCTTCCCTGCATAAGCAGTGATGGAAGGTGTCATCAACAGTGCTATCAAGCAGCACCACCTGCTTAGCAGTAACCTATTTGTTTATACATAGTTTGAGTTCCACCAAGGCCACTCAGCTCTTTACCTCATTACAGCCTTGGTTGAAACTTGAATAAAAGAGATAAATTTCAGAGATGAGGCGAGTGTGACTGCCCTCGACATTAAGGCTGCATTTGATGGAGTGTGACATCGAGGAGCTGGAGCAAAACTGGAGACAATGGGAATCAGGGGAAAACGGATCACTGGTTGGAGTCATACCTGGCACAAAGGAAGATGGTTGTGATTGTTGGAGGTCAGACATCTCAGTTCTGTGACATCTCTGCAGGATTTCCTCAGGATAGTGTCCTTAGCCCAACCATCTACAGCTGTTTCATCAAATACCTTCCGTCCATCATAAGAGTGTTTGCTGATGACTGCATGACAGTCAGCGTTGTTGCTGAATCCTCGGATAGAGGAACAATGGCAACAGATAGGTTGGATCAACACCACCTGCAAAGTTCCATTCCAAGCCATCCATCATCCTGACTTGGAAATATATCACTGTTCCTTCAGTGTATTTGGGTCAAAATCCTGAAACTCCCTTCTTAATGGAAATGTGTGTGTACTCATGGAATGTGGACTTCAGCAGTTCAAGAATGCAGCTCACTACCATCTCCTCAAGGGTAACAGGATGGACAATAAATGCTGACCTTGCAGTGATATTAATATCCCATGAATGAATAAAAAAACTCATCCATAGTTTCAACCCCTTATCCTCATAACTTGCTCCAATCTTTGAAACACTGAGAATTTGTGTTCCCCAAATCTAGCTTTTTATCCATACCCTCACTTCTCGCACCTGGGTTTTAGCATCTGTCCCTCCAACCATCTCAGCTGTAAGTTTTGGCATTCCTCCCTCAATCGCTCTGCTCCTCTATTGCTCCTCCTTTTAATTGCTCCTTAAAATGTACATCTGTCCCAAAGATTTTCATCAATTAAAAGTATCCTTCTTTACTGAGGTGTTAATTTTTAACTGGCTATGATCCAGTGAAGCACATTGCAATGTTTCATTACTGAAGGCATTATATAAAAGCGTAAGTATATGCTAGGATGTTATAAATCAGAAATAAAAAGCAAAGATGCTGGAAGTTCTTACAGTTCTTTACGAGAGAAACACAGTTAAAGTTTCAGGTTGATAAACTTTTTATCAGAACTGGGAAAAGTTAGCAATGTGATAGATTTAAGCATTTGAAAGGAGGCAAAGTGAGAGAGAGAGAGAGAGAACAAAAGGGAAGGTCTGTTACACGTTGGAAATTAGGAGATATTAAAAGACTCAAGGGTTGGTGGTGTAAAGTCAAAGGTAGTAGAAATCGGATCAGTGAAGAAACAAAACTTATGGTCACCACACTACAGGATGTGAAAGCTTTGGAGAAAGTGTAAAAGAAGTTTACCAGGACGTTGCCTCGATTCAAATGTAGTAGCTATAAGGAAAGGTTGAACAAACTTGGATTGTTTTTGCTAGAGCGTTGAGTGCTGAGGGGTGAACTGATAGAAGCAGAGAAAATTATGTGAGGCATGGATAGGATGGATAATCAGAGTCTTTTTCCCAAGGTAGAAATGTCAAATATGAGGGGGCATAGATTTAAGGTGAGAGGGGAAAAATTTAAAAGGAGATGTGTGAGGAAAATCCTTTACACAGAGAGTGCCTGAGACGTGTTACCAGGGGAGGTGGTATAAGCAGGTACGATAGCGATGTTAAAGAAGCATTAGACAGACACATGAATAGGCAGGGAATGGAGGAATATAGACCATGTGCAGGCAGATGGGAATAGCTTAGAATGGCATCAGGGTCAGCACAGACATGGTAGGCCGAATGACCTGTTCCTGTGCTGTACTGTTTTGTGTTCTAGAGGAAGCGCAGATGTAGGGTGACCTGTACCTGGCCATGTAAAGTGACTTGTACCTGACCACACTAAGCAGCCCATGCCTGCTTACAAGATAGCAGACAGAAGCTAAGCAAAACTAAGCAGCCTGCTCACACAGTGAAAAACAATGGTACTTTGAACAGAACTGCTAGAAGGTCAGGAAGAGAATGCTGTATGCAGTTTTGATAAAAGGATGCTTTAGGACAGATAAATGACCAATTCTAGACTTATTAATGAAAGGATGATTGTCCCAGTAAATGAATAACATCAGGTGCCAGATGAAGTCCCTAAGCAGCTGCAAGGATGACAGCTGAAGTTATTTCATAGTAAATAGTTGCTTCTTTGAAGCTACACGCAATATTAAATAGTTTCTAGTTAAAAATGTTTTAATCATAGAAGTTGGTTTCAATATATAACCAGAATATAATACAAGCATTAAAAAAAATCATTTAAGCTTAGATGTGAAGTTAACTCGCCATAGGAGATGCATTCTTTTATGCCCTGAATAAGATGGATTGCTCACAGCCCATAAATTACAAAATGCTAGCAATAGACGTAGTTGTATAACGTTACACTTTACAATTGACTGGAGAACAGAAGTTAACCTTATAGCAATTAGCTAAAACTAACTGACTTTTTAGTTTTACATTATGTAATTGGGAAAATAAAAGCTACTAAAGGAGGAAACATGAGAATAGAACCAAAATTTGAAAATTAAAAGGAAATGGAATGAAGGCAAAAGAGACAGTTTTAAATTGTTGAAATTATTGTTGAACCCGAAAGGCTGCAAAACGCCTAATTGATGCATGAGGTGCTGGTCCTTAACTTGGGTGGTTGAACCTCATTGAAATACTACAGAAGGCATCAAAGTAGGAGCAAGATGGAAAGCAAAGTTTTGCCTGTCATTTCAATTCCATTCCAGTAGTTGTAAAATAACCTTTTATGTTTGATTTCTAGGTGCAGCTTTCACTTTATACTTATTTGTCTGCTGAATTCATTGGCACTGCTACTATCTACAGTACTATACGTAGAGTAGGCACTGTACTGCAGCTAATGCATACTCTCAAATATTACTACTGGGTAATTAATCCATCTGATTGCAGTGGCATATCTTCCAAAGGGCAAGGTAAGAATCATATGAAATTTTTTTTATGAACGTTGCAATTATTGCAATAAGCTGAAACTTTTAATTTTACTCCTCCAAAATTCTAATATTGTTGTTCCAACAGAACTTATTTGATCACACTTTCTTATTTGGATCGTATTAGTTGTAATGCCACTTATTGAAACAGCTACAAAGTGCAACTTAGATTTACTTTCAACATAACAAAAGATATTTTGATATCAACAAGGTAGTTTCCTGTAAACTCAAGTAAATATTAATTTGGAAAATTTACTTTTTTTTAAGCTGCTGAAGTATGTGAACATAGGAAGTGGAGTAGTCCATTTAGCCCCTTGAATGTTTTTTGCTATCAAAGTTTGTTTTAACAAAATTGAATTACTAGTATTTTTATCAGGTGAATCATTCTTTGCATCAATTTAGTAGAAATGCTTGTAGTGAAAATGCCAAAGAAACCTAATTTTAAAACGTTACTATTGTCACTGTTTTTCTGTTAATTAAGTTCTCAACAAAGTCTTTATTAGCCTAGGTCAGCGACTCTAATACTCTTTTGGCCAGGCTGTAATTTTGCACCATTTGTAAACCTGTGTTCATTCCAAATCTGTGTTGCTTCAAGCTGAACATGCTCCATGCCCATCATGCTGTTTCTGGCCTATGTTGGCACCCTTTCTAGCAATGCTTTGAGTTTTGAATCTTTACTCTTGCTTTCAAAATCTTCCATGGTTATCCTCACTGCCTTTATAACATCCTACAACTGTCTAAGATCTCTGTAATCCTTCAGTTCTGGCCTTTTGCATATTCTGATTTTTCATGCTCCACAATCGGTGGCTGTACCTGTATAGTTTAATGTTTGAAAAATCCTCCCTAAACCTCCATGCCTCTTTGCATTTCCTCCTTCCTTTAAGATGCCTCTTTGACCAAGCACTTGGTCACCTGTTCTAATATCTCCTTGTGTGGCTCGGTGTCAAGTTTCGTTTGATAATGCTCATGAAGCACTATTAAAATTCTTCCATGGGATGTGGGCTTCACTTCACAGGTGTTGCCCATCCCTAATTACCACAACTGAGAAGCTTGCTAGGCTTTTTCAGAGGACAGTTGAGTCAACCACATTGCTGTGAGTCTGGAGTCAGTTGTAAGTTAGACTAGGTAAGGATGGCAGATGGCCCTCTGAGAAGCACATGGGTGAACCAGATGGGTTTTTTACAACATTATTGATAGTTTCATGATCACCATTACTGAGTTTAGTTCTTAATTCTAGATTCATTAATTAATAGATTTGAATCAGTGTCCCCAGAACATATGACTGGGCCTTTGGACTACCAGTCCAAATTACATCACCACATTGCCACCCTATCCCCAAAATGTTTACAACATTAAAGGCATAATGCAAATTGTTGTTAGGAAGACATAAGAAAACATTACTATGAACAGATTTTCAACATTGTTTTGTAACTATCAGCTTCTGTTTGCTTCTATATATAAGTGGTTATTGTAGTCTGTTATGACATTTGTTTTATTCATGTGACAGGTGCTGGCTGAGTGCTAGAAATGCACTCAAATCTTGAAACACCTGGAAAGAAATGGGTTTGTAAAATCTGTTCTAATGTAGTCAATAGGAAACTAGCACAAATAGTGTGATATAACTTTGGTATGAAATCACTCATATTGGCTTTTGGCTAGTAGTTTTAGGCCACAGATAGTTTTGAACTGGCAGCAGCAGCATAGCTAAGTGTTGTGAAGTGAACTTGAAAATATTTTCCTTTAATTGAATTCTCCAGGAGCTTGCAACATATTATTTATAGCAATTTTCCATGAGGAACGAGTAAATGGAGCAATGGCAGATACAGAATGTAAAAGGGCAAGAAATTGAGCAGTTATCAGTCTCAACTGATCTCTCCCCATCCTGCATACAATTGATGTCCCCAGTGGACATTGGGGCAAGCAGTGGAAACTTGCTTGAGATAGATGGGAGCTTTATTAAGACATGGCACTGGAGATGGGAACATCCAGCATGCAATTTGCCATCATTTAGCATACAGAACATCCAATTTAAATCATATACAGGAAACTGGTGTTGATAGGAACTGAAGGATCAGCCCATAGCTAATTTTAAAGAGCAATATAATAAAGGATAAACTAAATGATGTGTTAGCTGTGGCTAGGTTGGTAGCGGTCTCATCTTTATGTCAGAACCCTGAGTTAAGTCCTACTCCAGAGACTTGAGTGCAGAAATATAGGCTGACACTTTGCAATTACTAAGGAATGCTGCACGTTCAGACTTTCCATATTTTTGGTGAGATGTTAACCTGGCCCCATTGCTGTCCCAGGTGGACATAAAAGATCCCATGACATTATTTTGAAAAGCAGCAGGAAAGTTATCCCTGAAGTTATGGCTAATGTTATTTTCTCAATCAACGCCATTAAAAACTTGATTTTCTGGTCAATTTGATTTTGTTAATTTTGCTCTGGGCATGAAATGTAGTACCTGTAATTGAATGAAAAAAGTGTCTGCTGGAATTATGTCATTCCAGACAGATATTGATTTCAAACTACAACTTTTCCAAAGTTACTGAACATAACTTGATCATGTGCTGAATTGAGCAGCTTGCAATGGCTTATTTTGATACCAATGATTGATTAGAATTGTCTTATGTTACTGTTTTGCGATTTACTTATTATGCACAATTCCTTTGACTTTTGTCTCCCAATAAAGCTGCCACAAAGCCTTTCTCAGTTGGTAGGGTGGAGATAATCCGGTCAGCTGACATCCATGACAAATTCTTGCTACTGTTCCACAATCAGTGGGTGTTTTTTGTCCATCATGTTAAGACAAAAGATCTCCTTATTACAAGTTGTTAACCTTATTTATCCAGTGATCTGGTTCAACTCATTTTCAAGCTTTGGCAGGTAGGGTTGAGTGATTGGTAGGGTTGGATCTAAAACTTCTGAACGACTTTTGTTGAGGCAAGCCTACATGTGCTATTGCACTGCCTGTGATTAGTGTGTAGTTGTCACATGGTGAGACTTTACTCTTCCGATGTTGACACAGAGTAAAGCTAAAGAATTTCTTTTCCCAATTTTCTCCCCTTCTTTCCTCTCCTGAAGGTGGTGACTCATGCTGGGGTATGGTTCCACAGGCACCAGCAGCCCTCCGGTACCTCACCCAAGGGTCTATTCTTCATGTGTGAGCCTATACGGTGAGTATCGGTGGGCTATTCGACTGTGGGGCATCAATGCCAAGGAAGTCCTTTCTGCACCTGATGTCCGTGCATGTATTTTTAGCAAGATGGCTTCATAGTGACCTGGAAGCGAAACTCTGCCCAGTTTTTTATGTGCCTCTTCTGTACTCTGGAGCATTGAAAGATGAGGTACCATCTTGAAGTTTATGTTGAGCTTAACAGAGGTAGTGATGGAAAGCTTGAAATTCAAATAGAAGGCAAAAATTGACATCACAAGTGTAGGTCAAGAGAATGTTGAAAATAGAGCCGTGTTTAGATAAGCCTTCAAATCTGGGACTTGGATATATTGTAACCAATACAAGAACAGATTGGAGAAGAGTTCAGCTGAAGGAGTGGTGTTAGTAGTTACCTGGTTTATCTTTATATTGGGTTCCAAGACACAATTGCTTATTTATGGAGCATTGAAAAATAAAAGTGATGAACTTATCACATTCTTCAAATTAGTACCATATTATCCAAATTAACTTGTTCATACATTCTGCTGCTCTCTTAATTCTGTTGTATTAAATTGGTTTTATTATGGTTTATAAACAATGAAGATGAAAAGGCTGTTTGTAAATTTTTGGACAGAGTAAAAATATAGTTTGTAATTGCAAAGGACTAGGAAATACTGAAAATGAGGCCCAATCATATGTTTGGGTTATCTTGACTCTCCTAAATTAACCTTATGAGGAGCTTAAAATATGCATTTTCCAACAAGATGCTTTCTCCTTTTCCTGTAGTGCCAATTGAGCTGAACTGTGGAATTTTCTCACGGATTGTTGTTCTGAGAAGGATTGCGTAAATGATATTTTTGACAAAAGCCCCCACACTGACTGCATATAAAAATCACAAAGGTCCATTATATGAACTATGTGTTTAAAATCTGAATGTAAGGTTGAGATCTTTAGGTAAGAAATGCTAACAATACTAGCAAAATAATTATTGTAATTATTGGAGACAATAACCTCAGGCTGTGGTAAGACAAAAGTCTATGACCAGAATTAGGAGGTGTCCTTTGATTCAATCTGGTAATCAGTATGTTGAACATTCAGTAGTGAAGATTGCAATAGTAAACTTGATCTTACAAAATGAAGCAAGAAAAACGAATGATCTGTAGTTATGTTAGCATTTGTAAAATAATGCAGTATCCCTGGCCAGAAGAGTTAAAGATGAAAGATGTTGATCTTTAAGTTAACCAGTTTTGATGAAATGAAAGGTGATCTTGCCTATTATTAATTGGAAAGAATTAATGCCAGATGTATATGCTGGATGAAGGAGGACACAGACTTTTTAATAGATAAATATTGAAAGTAGAGAAAAGTTTTCTTAAACATTGCAAATGATGAATATTATGGAGGTAATGCAGAAAAAATATAAAATGAGTAGAAGGGAACCAAGGAGGAAACTTATTTTTCCTGTACTTGAAGGACCAATCTTGCCTTGTCAGTGACAGCAGCTTGTATTTTTATAGCTCTTTTTGACAAAATAAAATATCCGACAGCACTTTACAATAGTGTTCCGAAGTAAAAATCAGAGACTAAACCACATAAAGAAATGTTAGAGCAGATGGTCAACAAGTTGGCCACAAGCAAATCTTTTATGACGAAAGTGAGGTGGAGAGGTATAGGACAGTAATTGCAGAATTCAGAGCTTAGGTAGCAGAAGCCACAGCCAGCAGTGATTAGCGATTAGAATCGGGAGTACTTGAGTGCAGAATGAGACGAATGTGGATAACTTGGTGGTTACATCTGGACCACAATTTGCATACAAGTTAATGTCAAAGAT